AGGCAACACAAAAAATAGAAGAGGAAGAGCCTGATATTGAAGAGCCTGATATTGAACAAGAACACCCCTGTCCTCCACCCGAGCCTTTCACTACCACTGCCCCCTCTACACCAGCCACCTTCCCCCATGGTGAGAGAGAAAAAGACACTCACCTTCATAGCTCTGGACATCCCCAGGAAAGAGAGTCGGGCTGTGCATACACTGTCATGAAACCCACAGCATCTCTCGGAACCCACCAGGTCCCCATGCCACGTGTGTCCCTTCTTCCAGCCTTTCTTCCAAGGGGTAGTGCTGCCCCCCTGAAAAATGCCGCCCTAGGCAAATGCCTTGTTTGCCTTGTGGTAAATACACCCCTGAGTCCGCCCCTGCTCTGGAGGAACCCTGGTTGAGAAAGCCTGGCCTACAAACTCAGTCCTATAATATCATCTTCTTTTTTCATCTCAGAAAATTGAGAGTTATGCATAAAGCATGTGTCTGTGATCCCCATACCTACTGTATTGTAACTGACAGCTCACATACAGCATCACAAGAGTTTATCTTTTTGTCCTTCCTCAGAACATCTCAGCTATGACATGAAAAACAGACTATGAACTAGAACTCAAATCTAGCTGACGGAAGGCATGAACAGTAAGCACTTCAAAGGCAATTGGCCAGGATTAAATGTACCTGTGTGGGAAGCTGGAGATGGAAGCTGCCATTCTGGGGGCATATTGGTCTAAGCAGGGGCAGACTGACAACTCATGGGGCCCCCGGCAATAAGGGATCATGGGGCCCCTGTGTCCTTGCCCAAACTCAAAAAAGCCTATGAAAAAGGTACCAGGGGCATCTCATGGGGCCCCCTACTGACCCCGGGCCCTCGGGCAGTGCTCGAGTTTCCAAATGGTCAGTCCGCCCCTGGTTCCAAGGGCAGTGTTATACCTTTAGAAAATATGTCAAAGAAGTAAAGCGCTGCCCTATATATGTGAAAAATACCTGAAAATATTCCATATTATGAATTCATGTAATGTGCTTCCTCTACAAATAACACCATTAATGTAATATAAACAAATGAATAAACAAATAATTCATAAGGCTAGGTTCACACCTGTGCAGGTTGCGTTGGAGCTGTTTGTGTATTGTGTTTTTATCGCATTTTTGATGCATATTTGTGGGGGGGGGGGGCTAGGCAGATTTAAAACTCGAAATGCAAAACACAGCAAAAACGTAATACATGCGTCTATAGAACCAAAAATGCAACTTTTTGCGTTCAAAAAAGTCCCTGACCCCTTCCAAAAAATGCACCAGGTAAAAATGCGCAGATGTAAACATCTCCCATAGGAAATCATGTTAAACGGACTGTACTGCGTTTCTGCAAAACGTTGCAGAAAACGCTTAGGTGTGAACCTAGGGTAAATTATAGTCTCTTAATGTGCAAACGTGCATCGGTTCTTCAAAGAGCAAACGTGCGATAATTCTTCATAAAGTGCAATGAATCCTTAGTGCTCCCCTCCGGTGGTCCCACTTACTTACCAGCTCCCGTGGACTCTAAGCCCCCTGGTCACATCAAAGCCGACTTTGAAACCGTGCGACTTACAGTGAAGTCACACGATTTCAAAATCAAGTGATCTGCCGATTTCAGTTGCGATTTGCATGACATCTGACACAGATGTCTATGCAAACGCAACAAAAGTAGTGCATGTACTACTTTAGAAATCTCTCAGTCTTACAGTGAAGTCACACGATTTCAAAATCAAGTGACCTGCCGATTTCAGTTGCAATTTGGAAGACATCTGACACAGATGTCTATGCAAATCACAACAAAGTAGTGCATGTACAACTTTAGAAATCGGTGTGGCTCGGACCAAGTCGGAACAGCACCGATATGACCACTCTAATAGCAGACAATAGGGTGCCATTTGGCATACGTTTTGCAAGGCGCAGGACATGCAAATCGCATGCCAAGTCGCACTCGATGTGACCGGGGGGTGTTATAAGATCAAGAGTCTAACATGCTTATGTAAGTATAGGTTCATCTGGGATTTGTAGTCCTCCTGTCGGTCCAGTCCTCATGCTAGTCCTCTGTGGTTAATTTCCCATTCATGAGATTGAGCTCCTCATAAAGTAATGTATAAAAAGAGAAGGAGGGCCCATATAGTGAAATACCGTTTATTTAAAATTAGAGTTAAAATCGTGTTCCACTCACATGTAATAGCAAAAAGAAAAGCATACAAAAACTGAACCGGAAGTAGCACACCGGTGTGCGTTCCACTGGCTGGGAATTACGTCATCAGTGGCTCCGACTGACGCATTTCGCCCCTCCTACTGGGAGTTCTCAAAGGCTAGACTAGTGTTATACCTTGCTGGGCAGCTTAAAGCTTTCTTGAATAATGCCGTGCAGCCATCGCTGGAGTGCATGTATACATGAAGTAGGTGCAAAGAGGCTGCAGGGGGTTAGCAGCACTGAGATAAAAAAAAAGGATGATAAAAAGGTAAATGCATGTGTTTAATATAAAAAATAAAAAATGTTGTTTATGAATTTAAAATATCATACAGGTTTAGCTTATATCTGCTAACTAATCAACTACCTGATCATTGCCTATAGTGATTTTTGAAGAGTGTGTTTTCCCTCATAGATTGTAAGCTCCAAGGAGCAGGGCCCTCCTAACCCTCTTGTATTGAACTGTATTGTTGCTGTACTGTCTCCCGTTATATTGTAAAGCGCTGAGCAAACTGTTGGCGCTATATAAATCCTGTATAATAATAATACATTTCTGCACTTTAAAAGAATCTCTGGCATTTTAAACATCACACAGTCCTTTAGAAACATTTGTCAGAGATGGCAGGAACACTGCTTGCGTCTTTCAGGGCGAGCACAGAGCCGGTAGTAATGGCTGCGTGGGGTGGGAATTCCCCGGACTGCGCAGATTGTCACGGCAGATGACGGAGAATATCATATACGGCTTCTCTCTGCTCTTCTCCTATAATTAGCTGTAATTGCGGAGAGGACTGTCACCTAGGAAAGCCTGTGCAGCGTGACTCAGAGTGGAATCCCTTTTGCTCTGTGCTTTTCCAGACCGCCAACAACTCAGGAGATTTCATGTCTGCACAAAGACGTAATTAGTTGACAATTAGGGCTCATTCACAGTCACGCGTTGTGGCAACGTGCGCTAAAACACATTGTCACGAGGTATAGCAAGGCACCTGCTTTATGTGTGGCACGCTGTAAATGGCACCCCAACACATTGTATATACCACTTGTTGTGATGGGCTACATTGTTAAAAAAGGGTCATGCACATTTGTTCTTCAGTTGTGATGCATTGGCAGTCCATTGAAATGAATAGGCTCCCTTAACGCAATTCAAGTTAACGTGCACCATAATGTGCATTCATGTGTATGCATCAACACACTCCAACGGAACACTTGAGTGTGAATGGGCCCTACATGATTGACTCCCACGCAATTCAAGTTAACGTGCACCATAATGTGCATTCATGTGTGTGCATCAACACACTCCAACGGAACACACTTGAGTGTGAATGGGCCCTACATGATTGACTCCCACGTAATTCAAATTAACGTGTGCCATGATGTGCATTCATGTGTGTGCATCAACACACCCCAATGGAACACTTGAGTGTGAATGGACCCTACATGATTGACTCCTACGGCCAGCTGGTGCCATCAACCCACCAACAAGAGACCTAAGACTTCAAAGATGGCCATGACAATAGATGTGTCAACTGAAACACAGCAAACAATGCTGGTTACCTTCAACAGCCTCATCGACCTCATTTTGGAATGTACCATGCATTACAATTACAATAATGTATTACAATAACCAGGGCTGCTGTTAGAAACCACAGAGCCCCATACAGCAAACTTGACAGCCCCCACCCCCCAAAAAAACCCCACAGTTTACCATGCTTTAGTTATGAATGAACACAATAAGTAATCAATACTGATCACTTACAGTGTTCATCATCCTGAAGGACCCTATTGTGTGCTTTCAGTTACCAGTGGGAGGGACAAGAGGGAACCCAAGAGAACTGGGGGGGGTGGGGACACACAGAGGGGCCTGGGCAACATGGGGAAATGTAGGTGCACAGGGAGGACGATGAGTGTGGCAGAGGGGCAATTACTTGAATCAATCCCCTGTATGGTTCTCTCTGCAGCAGCTGAACACCAACAGGAAGGAGAGGAGAAGAAGCCAGTATTCAGCTTCTGCAGAGAGAGCCATACAGGGAATCAGCCATAGTAATTGCACTCCCACCGTGCCGATCACCCTCCCTATGCACATTTATCCTGCCGCCTGGACCCTGCCCTGCTGGCCTGGGCCCCATACAGGAGGACTGATGGTATCCCCCTATCCATGGCCCTGAGAATAATACCTACATTAATGTTCTATTCAAGGTGAAGACATCCGAAAATTATTTTTAATAAGGGCCCCAGTATGACCCTTCTACATCATCACAGCTCTCTGTTCTGCTTTACAGACAAAGTCAGTTAAAATGGAAGTGAATACAAATGGTGATGATTTGCTAGGTTATAGGGAACATTTAGCTAGCGTTAGATGTACTTAGCCAGTTCCAGACTTTGGGCATGCTACATACGCCGATCATTGTACATAGGACATGTATAGCACGCCCAGGCCTCCTGCTCTGCTCCAACCTCCCTGTACACAGCAATTGGGCTGTGATTAATCAAAGCCACATTGCTGTGTACACAGAGAAGCTTGGCAGCTGTCAAAAAAAAAAAGCAGCCTGGCAGTGTTTATAAATAACATTTGCTCAGAGAAAGATACAATGTAGTGTATTGTTACTTTTGTATCATTCTGTTCATTCATCTACAGATCAAAGGGATAAACTTACAGAGAATGTCAGTTAAAGCAATTTGACAAGTTAAAAAAAACCCCCATGTTTAATAAAATGTTTCTCTGCTTAACCCATTTTTAAGCCTTAGGTTACTCTAGTCAGCCCTAATTAACTCCTTATTCTCCTTATCAGGGGCGGACTGACAACTCATGGGGCCCCGGGCAATAGGGGATCATGGGGCCCCTGTGTCCTTGCCCAAACTCAAAAAAGCCTATGAAAAAGATACAAGGGGCATCTCATGGGACCCCTACTGACCCCGGGCCCGAGTTTCCATATGGTAAGTCCGCCCGTGCTCCTTATCCATTCAACTATTATTTTCCTGATGATTTTTGTTTTGTTCATTTCTATTTTATTAACCATTATTATTTAAACGTTTTTTGTTTGTTTTTGTGTGGTAATATTTTTAATGTTATAAATAGCACTTACTCAGATGCTACAGAAAGATACAATGTAACATATTGCTACTTTTGTTTCATTCTGTTTGTTCATCTGCAGATCAAACGGATAAACTTCAATCTGCAGATGATGTCAGTTAAAGCAAGCTCACAAACAAAATAAGTTGTTATTCTCTGTTTAACACTCTATTAACCCTTTGTTTGCCTTAAGGCTTTGTCCACACCTATGCAGTTTGCTTTTGATCCATTTTTGCAGTGCTTTTTTGCGGTGAGTCTTTGGGGCTTTTTTATGTGTTTTGCGTTTTCTGTGCTTTTTTTTTGGCCTGTTTGGTCAGATTCACTGTTTGCCAACCACATCACTTCCATGTTCGGTGGTAAGGCAGCTCTCCTGCGCTGGATCACCTACCTAGTACATGATCTAGCTCTTCTGGGTAGGGGATGCACAAGCGCACCTGCCCGCTGCCCCAGCTGTGCTGTGATTAGACACAGCACAAGCTGAACAGCAGGTCACGACCAATGAATGACGTCTGGAAACTGGTGATCAGCGAATAGGCTGACAGGACAGAGCTCTGTGTATGTAAACAACACAGAGCTCTGCCCTGTCAGAGGGGATGAGATGATTTTTGTTTTCTTGCAAAGCAGGAAAAAAAAAAAACCTGCTCATCCCCTAGTAAAAGTACACACACATGGTACTGTTAGGCATACACTTAACCCTTTGATCGCCCCTAGATGCTAACCCCTTCCCAACCAGTGTCATTAGTACAGTGTCAGTGTATATTATTAGCACTGATCACTGTAATAGTGTCACTGGTTCCCACAAAGTGTCAGTTAGTGTCAAATTGACCGCTGTTCTATTACCTTTCCACTATGAGTTGCTGATCACCACCGTACTAGTATAAAACAAAAAAAAATCCAGTATATATCCCATAGTTTGTAGACGCTATAACTTTCACGTAAACCAATCAATATATACTTATTGGATTTTTTAAAATAAAATTATATAGCAGAATACTATTTGGCCTATATTTATGAAGAAATTAGATTTTTTTTACATTTATTAGATGTTTTATAGCAAAAAGTAAAACATTCTTTTTTTTAAAATTGTTGGTCTTTTTTGATTATAACATAATAAATAAAAACCCCATTGATGATCCAAATACCACACCAAAAAAAAAAAGAGAAAGCTCTATTTGTGTGAAAGATTTTCAATTCTATTCTAATCTTTACTATTCTATTCTTTTCTCTATTCTATTCTTTCCTATTCATTTATTTTCTGTTCTATTCTATTCTTGTTTTCTAAATTTGTTTTGAAATTTGAATTGATTTGAATTTAGTTTCAATTGTTTCAGATTTGTTTAAAGTTATTACTAATGTAATTCAGAATTCGGATACATCCTAATCTCCAAATAACGGAAAATTCATCCAAATTTCCATTTGGAATGAAATGAACCACACATGTCTACTGTGTTGTTCTCTGTTCTCCTTGCTGGACTTGAGGAAATAAGAAGGCCACCTCCACACACAGACACAGTGCAGACATGGAAAGTCAGTAATGGGAAAGATCTGCTGCAGGAAGACCATAGGCAATATGTGTGACTAGTCCATAGCTCTTGGCAAAGTGTCTTGCTGGGAGAACTTGCAGTCCTATCCAGGGGCGGACTGACAACTCATAGGGCCCCCAGGCAATAGGGGATCATGGAGCCCCTGTGTCCTTGCCCAAACTCAAAAAAGCCTATGAAAATGGTACCAGGGGCATCTCATGGGGCCCCCTACTGACCCCGGGTCCTCGGGCAGTGCCCGAGTTTCCAAATGGTCAGTATGCCCTTGGTCCTATCAAAATTCTATAAAAACTACACTCACACTGCAAAAAGCAGTTGCCCCATGCCACTAATGAACACTCACAAGTACAAAACGTAGTATTTGTCTGGCCAATCCCCCTATTCAGTATGTCATAGCTGACTAGGTCTGAACCAGGAAAAAAAATGATCTTCCATGATGCATCTGAGGTTTCCTAGCTCTGCTCTCTGTGTGCAGAGCTGTCAAGAGAGTTGATGCAGTCAGGGACACAGAGTTGGTTAGGATGTCAGGAGCTGATCTGCAAACAATAGGGATTCGTTTACACCTGCGATTTTCTTTGACTATCGATCTGCAGCTACTGGTTATCTGAGAGCGGTGCAGGTGTGGCTGACAGGCATTCAGGATGCGATACCACCACCTCCTTAAAGAGGAGCTTCAGTCTAGTTTAAAATAATTAAAAGTCAGCAGCTACAAATACTGTAGCTGCTGAATTTTACTAAAAAGACACCTATCCACGGATCCAGCACTTGATCAGTCTTCACCCAGACTGACTCTTCTCCATTCTTCGGGTCCTTGGTGTCACATGTGGGAAGCACTCTGTGACTTCCTGTGGCTACACAGCTGCCTGCCCACTGCACGTGCCACGCTGTGCTATCTTATGGTCCCACAGACTCCTGGAACCTATGACTTGTCCCAGGAGGTTATAGGTGGGGGAGGTAAATTTCTGCTCTGAAAATATAAAAATAATCCCCCTGCGCTCCACTGGTATGAACAAACACAACCCCAAATATATGCAAGCTGCTACCACCTATTCCCAATACCACAGGATGTATGACATAAAAAAAAACAATATTGGTGAAGCGCTTCACATGGAAAACTAAATAAGTAGGTGCAATGATATAAAAATACATATAAAGTGCTAAATAATCCCCCCAAAAATATATATAAGTGCCAAGTGCTGAAAGTGCAAAACAGGTCATGCAGTTGCTGACTAGATCATGCCAAAATACAATATATGCACAGTGAAATAATACACAATAACATTGCACACTCTAGCTGAAAGTGACAGGTGCTCAGTAGGAGTATGAATATTAGTTAAAAGTAAAATCCACAATAAAGTGCAATAACAAAGTGCTTGACATTTCATTTGCAAACAAACACCGCAATGTCAGTGCTTCAATTCTTCACTCTAAACATGATGTGTGTTAGCATGCCACACGTGTGTATCATAATCCAAAAGTGGCTAAAGTGCCTCCTCACCTTAACCATGCGGGTTGCATAATCACAAGGCCATAGAGAGGTAGACAAAGAGAGCCTCCATAGTGAAATGCCATTTATTCCATATAGCAGATGAAAACAAGCCAAAAGAGAACACTCACAGTATAGCAGATCTCATCCAGCAGGTCTCCCATGTGCTGTGGGTGTACTGCAAGGTGCTGGGTGTTCAAAGATGGCGTCTGCCGAAAGTGCGTAACCGGAAGTACGTCACCGCACTCTACGCGTTACTATCCTGATGAAGCCACATGATATCATGGAATAACGTGTAGAGCGCGGTGACATACTTTCGGTTACGCACTTTCGGCAGAACACCCAGCACCTTGCAGTACACCCACAGCACATAGGAGACCAGCTGTATGAGATCTGCTATACTGTGAGTGTTCTCTTTTAGCTTGTTTTCATCTGCTATATGGAATAAACGACATTTCACTATGGAGGCTCTCTTTGTCTACCTCTCTATGGCATTGTGATTATCCCGGGGGTATTACCATCTGAGGGCATAAGTGACCTGGCAGAGGAGATCGAGTGGTACTACAGGAGTATTATTACAGAGATCCCCATTCTGGTGGAGCTATATTACCTAAAGCAGTGGTCGGCAAGCCGCGGCTCGTGAGCCACATGCGGCTCTTTACACATTTTAATGCGGCTCTTCTGTGTGCCGGGCGCTCGCTCCCCTCCCCTCCCCTCCCCTCCCTCCTCTCCCTCCTCTCGGGCGGCCGCTCCCCTCCCCTCCCTCCTCTCGGGTGGCCGAGGACTCTGCAGCTAGCCCAGCAGTGATTGGCCAGTCTCGCTGCCACTCACATCCTGATAGCTAGTGATTGGCTGTCAGGATGTGTGTAGGCGGGGCAGCGTGACGAACGTGAGGGGAGCTAGGCTCCTCTCACAGTCCGCCCTGAAGACCGGAACGGCGCGGGAAGCACGGCGAGAGGAACGCGCGGAGCAAAGGTAAGTGAATTGACACAGGAGGGACTTGACTTACTACTTGCTACTTACTTACTACTACTATATGAGGGATGAATTAATATGGGGGATGAATTACTATGGGGGATGAATTACTATATGGGGGATGAATTACTATGGGGGATGCATTACTATATGGGGGATGAATTACTATATGGGGGATGTATTACTATGGGGGATGAATTACTATATGGGGGAGGAATTACTATATGGGGGAGGAATTACTATGGGGGATGAATTACTATGGGGGATGAATTACTATGGGGGGATGAATTACTATATGGGGATGAATTACTATGGGGGATGAATTACTATATGGGGGATGAATTACTATATGGGGGATGAATTACTATGGGGGATGAATTACTATATGGGGGATGAATTACTATGGGGGATGAATTACTATGGGGGATGAATTACTATATGGGGGATGAATTAATATGGGGGGTGAATTACTATAGGGGGGATGAATTACTATATGGGGGATGAATTACTATGGGGGATGAATTACTATATGGGGGATGAATTACTATAAAAACTTATTGAAACTAAAAACAGTGTACCATCCTATGTATTTTCAGTTTTAAAAATGTGGCTCTCAAAATAAATTTCAATCGTGGTTTTGGCGAGATTTGGCTCAGTTGAAAAAAAAGGTTGCCCACCACTGACCTAAAGCATTGTGGCCCTTAGGGGTCGCATGGTTAAGGTGAGGAGGCACTTTAGCCACTTTTGGATTATGATATACATGTGTGGCATGCTAACACACATCATGTTTAGAGTGAAGAATTGAAGCACTGTTTGTTTGCGATGTTTGTTTGCACATGAAATGTCAAGCACTTTGTTATTGCACTTTATTGTGGATTTTACTTTTAACTAATATTCATACTCATACTGAGCACCTGTCACTTTCAGTTAGAGTGTGCAATGTTATTGTGTATTATTTCACTGTGCATATATTGTATTTTGGCACGATCTAGTCAGCAAACGCATGACCTGTTTTGCACTTTATTGTGGATTTTACTTTTAACCAGTATTCATACTCATACTGAGCACCTGTCACTTTCAGTTAGAGTGTGCAATGTTAATGTGTATTATGTTTACTGTGCATATATTGTATTTTGGCACGATCTAGTCAGCAAACGCATGACCTGTTTTGCACTTTATTGTGGATTTTACTTTTAACCAATATTCATACCCATACTGAGCACGTTCCACTTTCAGTTAGAGTGTGCAATGTTAATGTGTATTATGTTTACTGTGCATATATTGTATTTTGGCACGATCTAGTCAGCAAACGCATGACCTGTTTTGCACTTTATTGTGAAATTTCTGCTCTGATCGCCGTCAAAACTAGGTACCTGTTCCCACAAAAAAAAAGGTTTACAATAAAGGAGGGGGGGAGAAGGAGGATAAGTGGAACCTTCAGCGCAGGAGTCTCCCTGCTGTCAGGATAGAATGACACAGCGGAGAGGATTCCCCAATCCACATTGATTGTGTGGATGGGGGAATCAGATCAGTTTTTTTTTTGGTTCTTACTGGTTGAATGAAAAAAAACCTGACTCATGTATGGCCAGCTTACATTTTACAAAAGTATTTTAAGAATGTGCTTTATGAAATAATACACAGCAAATTGGCTGGGCTATGTCCATATACATTACCTGTGGTTTTATTTCATTCATGTAAGTATCTATTTTTTCAAATTAGAAGTCATTTGACAGAAATAGAAAAAGTTTCTCACTGCTGTGAATCCGGCTACTAAATCTCTTGTAGAGGCTCCTCCTCCTGCGCTGACATCAGCTGAAGAAACACATCTGGGAATGTGTATGGTGTTTTGCATCTTCTGATGAGATGACTTGTGACAGCACTAATGTCAACAGATGATATCATCTCTCCCAGGACGAGCACAGATCACAATATAAATATATCTCTCAGTGCCCCAGTGTCATCTTCCTCCGCCGCAGAACTCAGGGGAACGTCTCACCGTCACCGCCGCTGTTAGCCAGGACTAAAGTTATTTACAAATTATGGGATTTTACAGTGACCTGAAAAGTCCTTTATAATGTGACTTTTACATGTGGTCAGTTGTGATGGATTACTAAAATAAAACCAGCTAATCTCAGTACACACTTTCAGTTGGCAGATCACTGCATCAACACTGCAGTACTAGGGTCGTTGGTTTGAATCCCAACCATAGCACCATTTGCCTGGAGTTTGCATTTTTTTCCCTGAGTCTACGTTGGTTTCTTCTGGGAACTCCAGTTTCCTCCCACACTCCAAAGACATGCTGGTAGGTTAATTGGTTCCTGCCTAAATTGGCCTTAGAATGTGTATGTATGGATGTAAGTTAAGGACCTTCATGTGGCCTTCAGATTAGCACAACAGTGTGTAGAGAGCTTCATGGAATGGGTTTCCATGGCCGAGCAGCTGCATCCAAGCCTTACATCACCAAGTGCAATGCAAAGCGTCGGATGCAGTGGTGTAAAGCACACCGCCACTGGACTCTAGAGCAGTGGAGGCGTATTCTCTGGAGTGACGAATCACGCTTCTCTGTCTGGCAATCTGATAGACGTGTCTGGGTTTGGCAGTTGCCAGGAGAACGGTACTTGCCTGACTGCATTGTGCCAAGTGGAAAGTTTGGTGGAGGGGGGGGGGGGGGTTATGGTGTGGGGTTGTTTTTCTGGGGTTGGGCTTGGCCCCTTAGTTCCAGTGAAGGGAACTCTTAAGATGTCAGCATACCAAGACATTTTGGACAATTTCATGTTCCCAACTTTGTGGGAACATTTTGGAGATGGCCGCCTCCTGTTCCAACATGACTGCG